TTTCAGAGAAAGGATGTTAGGTTCCGGATGTTGTGTCGGAACTGAATATCCTCATTTATTTACTTGTTTATAAAGTTTATTTCAAATTACATCCTACAGGGCCTTCTGCTCACGTTTTTCTTCTATTTCTATAAATATTAAACCTCTCCCAGGCGACGCTAGAAGCAGCGCTGAGTAACTGAATTAGTTGCTACTGTTCGATCAAGTGAGGATTGTGCCATTGTCCTTGTGTACAAATGTAAGGATTGTAAAGTCTGAGATTATAAACTTTGAATAACGAGACTGTGATTGATGTTTGTAATGTAATTTACATGTTCATTTATGTACAATATTGTATATCCTATGGGTGAACTCTGAATGATGCCAGAGGCTCAGTTTTTAAACCTCTTTTATTAGAAAGTGTGAAAGTCCCTATCACTTTCTTGTAATTTAATTTCAGTAAAAATGTGGGGTTTGTTTAGAAATTTCTTTAATATTTTACTTTTAATTTTAGTTATTATGTTTCTAAATGTTTAATTACTTTCTTAATCATGTTTAACTTCTAAATGAGCCTCCACATCACTAATCCATGTTTTGGGGTGTGACAGAAATTCTTCTTTAGGCCAAGCGGCCTAAACTTACACCTCTATATGGAGTCGATTCCTATCTCGTAGCAATAATTTGCATATATGAATGGCTAGGAATTATAGTGAATTAAATATTAATCCGAGCGAAATCAGTGTTGGTCTAAATACTAAAATGGACGCCCCACCAACTACATATGATCCATTGCCGTTCATTGTTAACAAGAAGTCAATTACAAAGTAGAAACCATCAATACATAAACAACAACACAATAAGCTTAATAATTGAAACTAGTGGGAATTGTTTCATTATTATATATTGTTTGCTTACTTGATAACAACCTAAAATTAATTATCCAAAGATAAAATAATTCTAAATTTAATTATGTGTGGTGTTGACTTAACTTACGATTTTGATCGTGGGCAAAGTGGACCTCTATTAGTTTTCTTTCACTTACTACTGAAAGAAGGCTTTTCACGACTCTTTTAGTAAATTGTATATGTTCACTGCTCAATTCAGTTTCTGTAAATAGGGTAAAAACACGTTTCAACATGTCAATATGATTTTTACCTCTGTGCAGTATTTTTTATGATAGATTTAAAATTCATAAGCCCTTTTTCAAGCCGAAAAAAAAAAAAGGGGTACACTAACCAATTGTTTAAAGCATATATGGATTTTGAGATATGATGGATATGTCGTCAATGAGCTAGTGGGTTCAGTTTGCATTCAATATTCTTTTATTTTCAATTTTGGGAAAATGACTTTCACAGGCATGATTATTGCGTGTCAGGTCATTTATATGTACATATACATTTGATTATTATATATATATATATATGTATATGCATAAATATATTATGTATATATAGGTTTAATTAGCAAGTGGACCAACCTAATCTAGGAATTATAACCCTTTGAGACCGTTAATAGGTTTTCACCTACCAGGACAGCTATTACTGGGGTGTTTTGGTTCCTTTAATATATAGTCTTAAAACTCATAATTATTTGGGCAGTATATATTAGCGGATGCATACATGATCGTCCAAATCTTATCCATCTATAGGTGTGTGCGTGTCTATGTTATAATGTGAGCTTTGAGAATAAGATTCATGAAAATCTTATGAAAATCGAGACTAAAATAGTTGTTATTACCTGTCGATTATCTTAAAATCATCATTAATAATAACGCGAGTCCTAACTTTCAATTAGCTGCTAATCTGATAATTTATTATTTTCAAACTTTATATGCTCGCCACTATGAGTCTCCAAGCATGCATGCTTTGTTGTTAAAAATCAGAAGGAAAAAAAAAAAAAAAAAAAAAGGACCAAATTCAAAATCACAAAAAGGTACTTATTTGCAATTAATAGCCTAAAGATCTTGTGAACTAATTTAATAAAGAACATAGGGCATAAATATTTCTTAGCTAGAGAAGAATCTAGCATACTTTTGTTTTGGAAATAGTAGAAAGAGAGCACCAACTTTAATAATCAACCTATTTTTATTAAATCTTAGCAAAAACTTTTAACTGATTATGCGACAATGTCCAATATATGCGCGTAATTTTAAGGACCTATAAAAACCTGTTTAGTTATAGTTGTAGTATATCGTAAATTTTTCACGTCAGTACGAAAATAAAACCACATATCTAACATTTCTCTAATTCTCTTTATTGCAAATAAAAAGAGAGGGACAAAACTGTAGTTTATCCATACATAATTAGATATTATTCTTGTATATTCAGGGGGGAAAAGCTAAAATAATTGTATTATTCCTGGTGATATTTAGAGTAATATCACTTCTACATAGTTGAAATTCAAATATATCAAAATGCAAAAACTCTTTTTTCACATCAAAATATTACTTGATAAAAATTGGTATATAGAACGTAATTAAGTCGTTATACTCTAGCCTCCACAGCTAATTTCAAGACATCAAATGCAATATATGGAATTTTATTAAGAGTTCATCAATCTGCGTTCTAATTAATCAAAATAGCTAAAATATAAGTAGTTCTATGTACTAACTTATGTTATCATGTGTGAATTGTATCTTTTCAAAAGTGTAACAACATGATTAAAAGTGCAAATAAAGAAAGCATGCAACACCTTGGCTAGGAAAGATTGCAAGATATAATTAATGCACCGAAGAGATCATGGTTAAATTGAGTACTTTAACGAAAACAATCTAATGCGTTTAGCAATGATCAAGAATAAATAATTTATTTTACTAAAAAGAGAATAAGTAATTTATAAGAGCATATATATATATATATATAGCTTTGGGGAGTCTCCTATGTGGTCCAATAAGTAATCCCTGGAACAACCTAGTATTCCATAGATGAGCCATACCATAACTTGGTGGTCCGGTTTCTATTTTGTGGTAAAGTGGGTGGTCCGGTTTTTTGGGCTTAATGCCAAATTATTAACGGGGTGTTCTTTTCATAAATTTGAGTGGAAACTTAAATTTAAATTTAAATTTTTGTGAGTGAAATTACGAGAAAAACGAGGCAACTTTATGAGTTAAAATTTCATTCAGAACCAGACGACTCTAAATACAATAGAAGAGGTGGCATTTCCCATATTTCATATAGGAATATACATATATGTGTGTGTATAGAGGACCACTGGGCCCTATATTCAACCTCCAAGAGATAGTGGACAAACAAACGCTTTCATTACTAAATTACTGCAAATTATTGGAAGCTTTTAAGGGAAAAGTTAATGGTCTACTTCTGCAAATTTCCACCTAAGTTTGGTTTGGTTGATCAACGTCACACCTCTTTCACCTCACATGCATGTTACATACACACACATATACATATATATGTATATATATGTGTTGGACATGTTTGATAATTTGTATTGCGTTGTAGTGTGTTGTATTATCATTATATAATATAGTATTGGGTGTCATAACGTATTGTACAATGAGTTAAAATGTAATACTTTAAAAATTTTAGGGTCAAAATGTAATTTTTTAAAAATTTTAGGGGGTCAAAATGCAATTTTATAAACATTGAGAGTCAAAATATAATTTTTAGAAGATATAAATTTGCATTATGCCCGCTCAATTTTAAAATAATTATACGCTCCGACATAACTCTATATTGTCCCAAACCTAGTCCCCCACGCTATAAAACCCTGACACGAATCATGAATTCGCTATAAAATAATACAATATAACACATTAAAAATGAACCGTATTTAAGAATACGACATAAACTGTCTGTATTAACTTATACAATATAATAATAGCATTGAACATTATCTTAATGTATTATTATACAATACGCTACTCTAATACAATCAGACAAATATGCTCTTTACATACCCTTGGAAAATAAGATTCTCCTGTTGCCCTTTCTTATGTATTGTCATTCCATAGTTATAGCTACCCAACATCGAAACCATTTGGTGAGTTCTAATTCGCACTGATTCAACAACCATGTAAGCATCATATTTGTGAAAGTATAAGCGGCATAATCTAAACGTGGCCCTATATAATATTTGTCTCCTTTCAGAGGTTTAACCCAACGTACTACAGTCTCCTTGTTTTTTGTTTTTTTTTTTTTTTGTTCCTTTGTGGGATTTACTTTCCATGTTTATATCAAATATATAATATCTCTATATTTGTGTGTAATTGATCGAGTATAATAGCTATAATGTCCCATACCATCTCAGGGGAGTGGAATTTATAGGAGGAACCGAAGGACTCCATTCATTTCTTTTTTTCTTTTTTCATTTTTTACTTAAGGATTGCCTTCTTAAGTAAATTTGTTTCAAGAAAACTGTATATATATTTGACTGATAGTGGGAGCAAAGCAGATAATATAGTTTATTACATAACAATTTGATCACATTAAACATTTTTTTTTTCATTTTTGGGTGAATAGAGAACTTTTTGAACGCAGTCACACTCTTTTCGTATGGTTCATTTAACGTAGTCACATTAAACATTCATTTGTATTCCTTTTTGGAAAAAAAAAAGAAAAAAAAGAAAGCAAACCCTTGCAATAATGTCGAGCTATTGTATGGCGCTAACATGCATCTGTATGAATCAAGAATATTACTAATTAGTCGTTACAACTAATATATAGTACACCAGACGTATTAATATTATTTGTCCGTATTTGTAGTTGTACGCTTAAACGAAAGCATAAATTTAAGAGGTCCCCCACATATACAAAATGCCATTTTGTAGGATATGACATTAATTTATTTTTCGTCTCATATTGGCAAGAGAGAGAGAGAGAGAGAGAGAGAGAGAGAGATAAGAGAAGTGTGTGGAAAACTCCAACCAATTACAACTATATAGATATATCGTACTACAGTTTCTTCCAGACTAATCTGCCCTTCTTTAATTTACTCATATTCATCATATTTGCCCATGATTATATATTATATGCAGCCAAGCACGTCAGTCATTAGTGGTTTTCCTCTCTCTCTCTCTTCTCCTAATTTCTCTTTTTTTGCCTTATAAGTTTTGTGGATGTTGGCCAGACTTTTGTTGTGAATTAGCTGAGGGGAAAAAGAAATAGAAAAAAAGTTTTTTTTTTTTTTTTTTTTCACATAATATTACTCTCTCGCGCTGAGAAATTAGACATGGGCAGGAAGTGCTCGCATTGTGGGAAAATGGGTCACAACTCAAGGACCTGCAACTCCCGCAGACGACTTGTTTCCGGATGTCGTTTTAGGCTCTTCGGAGTCCAGCTTGATCAGTATTACCCATCTTCTTCCTCTTCTTCTCCTTCATCTTCTCAAATATCGTCGTTTTCTAATCATGCCATGAACACGAAGAAGAGCTTAAGCATAGACTGCTTGTCATCATCTTCTACACCGTCGTCTTCTTCGTCTTCTCGCATAAGTAATAGTACTACTAGTCATAGTACTGTGCATCATGAAGAAATCTCTGATCATAAACTACTCTCTAATGGTTACCTTTCCGATGGCTTCATAGCAGGAGCCCAAGAGAGAAAGAAAGGTTGGCCCATTCAACTATATATATATATATATATATATATATATAGCTGCAACAATATTATATATCCAGTACCATATTTAACATTTGTGCTTAATAAATTATGTATGCATGATATAGAGAAAGTAATAATTAGAAAGATTTAAGAGGGGAGTTTCCTTCTTATTTTTTGTCCTTCAACCATAATACATATGAACAGATCTACATAATTTATATGCTGACCCTTCAATCACTGAGTTCATGTACTGAACGTGGACGAGGTTATCCGTTTTCTTCCCTAATTTAGCAGTCTTATGTGTGGATATGTAGCTTTCTAGTTCACCTCTAGCTTTTTTTTTTTTTTTTTTTTTTTTTGGGTGCCTAAAGTTTATGCTGAGGAAACTAATCCAGTTCAGTGATCTCCTTGTTACCGAATTCTGATTCGGTTAGCGGTTCAATTTGTTAATTGTTATCTTCTGGGTTAAATTCACAAAATTATGTATCAATTATCTGTGAATTTGAGATGTATAGGAAGGGGCGACATAGATACAGTAAACACTAGCCCTTGCAGTAGTAATTTATAAGAAATTGCAGCACAAAGAAAAGCACTCCTTTTTGTTTTTTTGTCTAGTTTATGAGACTATTTTGCATATATATATATATATATGTGTGTGTGTGTGTGTGTTGATCCTACATCTAAGATTTACGCATCCTTTGGAATTGTTTGATCGTAAGTACTTGTTAATTAATTAATTATAAATGCACTATCTAGTTCTAGTGTTAAAAATTCATATTTGCACTATTAATTTCTCGGGTTATAATCGATTATCCGAATAATACTGAATATATATAATGTGTTTGGTGATGAACATGGTCAATTTTATATAAATGATTAGGCGTGCCGTGGAGTGACGAAGAGCACAGGATCTTCTTAATTGGGCTTGAAAAACTTGGAAAGGGAGACTGGAGAGGCATCTCTAGGAACTTTGTGACCACCAGAACTCCAACACAAGTCGCCAGCCATGCACAGAAGTACTTCCTGCGTCAGAACACTCTCAACAAAAGAAAACGCCGTTCCAGCCTTTTTGATGTACCATATAGCATATACATAGTCTATACTCTATATAAACACATATATATGATTATTAATACCGTTTTTATATATATATTATGTTCAGTTTAAGCAGCCAATTATGTACGGATATTTTATCTAATTATATAACCTTGTTTTGGACAGGTGGTAACAGACCAACTCTCACTTCAAGTGGTGAATAATGTGAACATCTCAAACCCAATTATTGAACCCTCTACTATTGGTATTGCTCCATTTGGGTTTTCAGCAAAGGCAAATACTGCAGGCCCTACTAGCCTGCTTGATGTCAACTGCTCCACCAGTTTGGATGCTAGAAAATTTGGCCATATTTCCGAGTGGCCAATGTCGATCCATCAGTATCGCCGAGCGCCTCTGTTTAATGCCGAATCGCTCCATTCCCACCAGCCTACTTCTTCATCAAATACAACCAAGGGAGCTCCTGATTTAGAACTTACACTTTGCAGCTCCAATGGCGCCGTTAGGGCAACAAAGTAATCCACGTGGCTGAGGTCTTCTATTTGCACCTCTTAGTGTGACATGAAGTTTTCTCTAGCTTTATTGCATATTCCACGCATGCATATTATAATGTTAGAGTCAGGGGGAGGGTTCAGTTTGAGAAGAGTACTAACCTAATATTGTCTCCAGGATTAAGCTTGTTTTGAAGAAGAGAGAAAGATAACCAAGGAATGATCACAACTTGTTTTTAGAGTATTGGCCACTGGATATATAATATGTTGCACATTTAATAATTCCTTAGTCCTTACCGACGTTGTTTCATGAAGCCTACAATATTCGATCCAGGAAATTATTGTGCTGAATGGTAACTTCTTTTTGTTTAAATTTTAGTTCAATGAAGTACTAGCTAGATGAACTTGTCGACTCCTTAAGTTGAATTTGTTCGGTTGAACATTACATTGGACATGAATGATCTACTCATATTTCCATAATATCTATCATATATGTATATTATGTATATATATATATATATATGTATGTATATTTTGTTCAAGCCAGTAATCTGATCAGCTCTGGGGGCTAACTAACTATCTTTTTTCTATAACTCCACCAGACCCGAATCCCGATCGTTTGTGTAATCTCATGTGTACTGCTGATTATTCTTTTCTCTCTCTTTTTTTTTTTTTTTTTTTTTGAAGGAAATGAGATAACTCATTTACTCTCGACGTTATTTATAGTGACTGTTGTCGCTCGTATATGTAAAACCATGGGAGCAACAATTGGTTACAGGTTTACACTGTTGCACCAAAAAAAAAAAAAAAAAAGTCTTACACAATATAAGCCTAATGCAATCCGATGAAATTAGGATTTTTTTTTGGGTCCAAATTGCGTTTCGAATAAATTGTTTCAATGATTAATAGCCTAGTAATTAATGCATAAAACGTGCTAATTGGAACCTTCTAGAGCTATATTAATTAATACATAGGTTTGAAGAACGTGAAATATGTGAAGGAGAAGGTGCACCAGTACCAAATAAACCTAGCTACCCAGAAATCCCAGTCAAAAAATAAAAATATAGATAGAAAAACTATATACTTTTCTATGTGAGAGAGAGAGAGAGATCAGATCAGTATTTTTTTTTTTTTCAATTTTGAAGAGAAGACAGCATTCCTTTGGTTGTCTTGTAGTGATAACCATTAATTACTATGTTGCAAAATAATGTGGGGGACCTTACGTTGATCTTGTTTTTAGCATTGTCGGCAATATGCTATTTGTGTATTTTCTTGTCCACATTTGGAGCAAACAAAAACCTTTGAAAAAAACAAAAAAAAAACAATTAATGAATCATAAATTCAGAAAACGACAAATTGAAAAGAAAATCTAGTTTTACCTAATATTTCACGCTGTCTTTCATTTTTTTTCCCAATTGAGTATTAAAGAAAGCTCAGGTGCGTTTAGTAAATGAATTCAAAATTATAATTTTAGATCTTCGTTTAGAATCAGTATTAATTTATAGTAATTCTAAATCGGTGTTTAGTTTAGATAATTTTAAATTATGATTCAAAATTTAATGTGATGTTTTAAATTAGCTCAAATCATGATTCTAAAACTACCTCTCTCTTGATTCAAGGTGATTCAAATCCCTGATTTTAAATCATAATTTTAGAATAATAATTTGAACCCAAAATTATGAATCGTGATTCTGATTTTAGAATCATCCTGGTTTAATTTCTCATACCAAACGAACCATTTATTATTTTGCCTCAGTACTACTTGACCATCTATTTTCCGGTTATCAAAAAATGTAACAAATTAGTTAGTGTCTTCAGTATTGGTCTGATCACTTTTCCATTCATGAGAAATTAATTAACAGTATGAATTTGGATCAAGCAAATAAAAAATACGTGTGTATGTGTGTGTATATATATATATAATTCTCCATAGATAATAAAGTCATATATAGTTCCAAACAAGAACATCGGATATATCTCTCTCTGCGCTAGAATATTAACTACAAACCACATTTAATTTTGTCGGCATCCGCAATCACTTTTAAGAAACAGTGACATTTACCCACCATGGAATGTCTTTATTTCTTAATTTTACTCGCTGTGACCATCAACGCGGTGTCGGATGATAAAAGTTTATATCCAGAAATCTGCCGAATATTGTGAAATATTTATTACACATTTTCCATATTGAGAGAATCCACAGGTACGTTGTATTGAATTGTATAGTGCCCACATGTGACTTTGGAACAAACAGACGAGCAAGCAGCCTTCTGTGTCAGATAATTGGAACTCTTTTCGAAGTCGTCCTGAATTGTCAAATCTCAATGCAGAAGACTGATCCGGAGCGATCCAAATTCAACCCTAGTGTGGGGCCTTAAATAGCCCCTGCAGTTATTTGCAGTTAAATCCTTAACAGTAACTCAGCTTGTCACATATGTTTCACCATAAAAGAAAAAACATGTACATATATAACATACATATCTTTTTCATTTTCAAGTAAACATACTTTAGCTTATACACAGATTGGTTTTCTATTTTTATTATTTCTTTTAGTATGCCATAATTCACTTTCTTCCAAACCAAAGCCCACCCGAGCAGCTTCATGAGTCTATGTCATTTGAGCCAGTGGTCATTGGCTGACTTCTAGTATATATAGGAGAATATGTTCCACACGAAACGGCAATTATTGACGTTGAAATAGAAGCTACATCAGAGATAACATGTATTTGAAGTTTCTTGCCACTATACATCTGCGTATGAACGCAGGACTGAAGTTTCAATAAAAATGTTCTTCATGATTTGTGTTGGTGTTTTGATATGTGACAGTGACTCTACGTCAAAAGGAGACTCGGGACAAGCCTGCCTAATGTATAAGCCGTAGCCACCTCATTCTGTCAAAATAACGACACAATTGTACACCGATATGTAAATGGAATCATAACTGATGAGTTGACCCTTTGAGGAAGGAGAAGGATAATCCTAAAGGATGACTAAACCCTCCAACATCACGATTTAGGGTGTGTCTGGAAGATGAGTTCAAATCACCTTAATTTGGATTCAAACAGTATTTTCTATCATACAAAATTTAAATTTAAAAAGTCACGCTATAATATTCTCCCACAAAATCTAAATTCTGATTCAAAGGTGGTTTACTATTTATGAATTAGTAAACAAACCCAAGTGAAGAAACTTGGCAGCGTTCACAAATAATTTGAGTATTCAGCTAAAGAAATAATTTTATAGTAGCATCAATAGCTTTTAATCCGAAGGTGTTTTGCTTAATATTCTTACACGAGGAAATCCAGATGAAGTCATAGATTGCAACATGAGTACATGAGCTTAACGCGGCATTCATCATCCTCATCGTCATTGTCACTATTATTGTTACTTGGATAGGTTGCACAAATTCATCTTATCTTATTGACAAGACAAATGACAAATGATATTGGAACTTTTTGAGAGTCGGCCTTCAAAACAGCGCTATGCTAAGAGATGAGTGGGCGCCACATAATAGGTACTGATAAATGGTCCAAGAGCAAAAGCAAAATTATTTTCTAGCCTGCTGAATCTTAGAATAGTTTCATTACAAAAACAGGAGATCTTACGAATGAAACAAGAGACAAGATACAATCAAAACTTACACTTTGAGAACCATATACTGTAACTATCAATATTCGGGTAAAGTTACATCTAGGGAACTATATTACACTGAAAAGAATGAAGTCACACACAGTGGGAAAAAAATTATATTACGGGTGTAAGGCTTGTTAGGTTAGTTCTTTGTCAGAAGTTAGATAAACCTCGGCCCCATTCTTCCAATAGGGACACTCGTCTGAATTTGATGACTGGTAGGTCAGGAAAATGAAACAGTAACGACTCCGAAAGAGCTTCCAACGAGGAAAAAGTAATTCTGATCAACTGGCAACATTCCGGGAGTGGCCGAATAAGAGCGTGTCACGTAAACAAGATCCGGTCTTCAGCTCATCCAATTAAGCATTACGAATCATGAGATCCTTGGACCATCAAGATAATGCGTTGCTTGCCGCTGTCTGACCGGAGGTTCTCTCCTTTAAAACCCACCTAAATTGGACATACATCAAGGCTCATCACATAAAAGAAAAGAAAGAACCCGGTGCAAAGTTGGATATAAAATAGGCAATTACCTCGACAGAACTGTCAGGAGGGAACCAGCGCAACAAAACACCAAGATGCACTACTGCAGGAATGAGCTTGAAAAGCAGCGGAGTGGTTACCTGCAAGGATTTTCCACGAATGTCTAATTCAGAAATCAATAAAAGAGAACTTTTTTGTTTTCCGCTTGGGTTTAAGGCCAGGGCTTGAAAATCAAAACTCTGTTTAAAAGAAATGGACTCTCTTTATTCTTTCCAAGTAGTGGACTTTTGTCACTGGCGTATATCTCTAAAGGGGAGACGAACAATTTATTTGTCAGTTCATATGGTAAGAGACTAGCAACTCATTCTCCAACTGTTCTAGTGGTCGTTTTCTTGCAGTAAACGATACCGCCTTTCTTTGCCCAAGCAACATTACTAATGACTACTGCCCACCAGGACAAGGAGCAACACCATTTAACTCAAAATATTAATCATATACATTCATGTACACCAAGCAAACGCAGGACAAGGGGAGACTCATGTTACATCCTATATGTACATTTATAAGACTCAAAATCATGCACCAAAAACAAACATTATCCGCTTAACAAAAATAATTTCATACCAGACTCAGTGCTGTGGTCCCAAGAAGCAGCAGATACAGTTTAGCCTGTAATACGGTCAAATTTTCAGCTGTAAGCAAGTAAACGTTTCAACAAAATCATTGCTAGATTAGAGGTTAAAAATTCCAGAAGAAACAGATATTGCACCGTCATGATAAACTTGTAAGCATTACAAATTAACTAATATTACAGAACCGGTCAGCTATGATATCAGAAAATTTTCCATGGTGACAACTTTGATTTAGAACTATGAAGCTTCAATAACAGAGCTAACCTCAACTAGATGAAGGTTTGATGCTCGACTGAGAAGAACAAAAGCAAACTCCCCTATCTGTGCCAAAGACATCCCCACCTAGACATGTAGAAGAACCCAAGTTTCAGTAATTGGTCAGATTAATGGAACAAAACATGCCACGACAATCTTACGAGAAGTGATGTTTTGTTGTTGTAACGAAATGCCTTGACAACTGTGCTGATTATAACTGTTTTTACAATAATAACTAATATAACAGATGCCAGCAATATGTCAACGTGAATCCAGAGAAATTGAACATGGATCAGCATCCCAATGCTCGCAAGGAAAAGAGCGGCGAAAAAGTTGCGAATGGGTTCAATCTGCACAAATGAAAATCTTCAGTGCGGCAACTAAATGCTAATTTCAGATTATTTGAAATTGAGAGCAAAAATTTATCATACATGTTATTACTCCACGTCTTAAGTTCATAGGTCATAATTGCCAAACAAATTTGGTGTCAAACTAACTACAACACTAATTGCTATTAGAAGGATATGGTGGCAACATGTCTATCAGTTCCAGATTCAGTTTCCCATAATCTTCCAAAATTGCGGTGTAGAGATCAAAAACGGATTTTTACGCATGTTCAAATTATGCAGCGAAAATGCACATTTCTCCATAAAACTGAAACAAGTTCTGTGTAAGGTTTAAAATTGGACTATGTAAGCCATTGCAAATGAAACCCTTGAGTAACTCTTCCCTCTCCAGTCACATACTAGAAAGAAGAACATATTTATGATCTTACTTGTTCGAGTGTATGTTGAGCAAGATCAGTCGTGGCTATCATCACCCCAGCAGCAAAGGAACCCAGTTCAAGACTCAGTCCCAGCTTATCACTACACTGCAATTATTCAGACAATTAGTCTATAATGGCGTTGGACAGGCAACTCAAGATACAAACAAAAGCATATGAAAAGCTCAAATGGTTCTGCAGCTTCTTGTACGTACGATGTAATATCTATTTACATCAGATGAGGATTGCATTAGTAAGTAAATTTAACATCACGTAAACCACTCCTCGCTCTCTCTCTCCCTCGCCCCACAGCAATTATCCGGACAATTAGTCTATAATGGCATTGGACAGGCAACGCAAGATAAAAACAAAAGCATATGAAAAGCTCAAATGGTTCTGCAGCTTCTTGTACGTACTATGTAATATCTTTTTACATCAGATGAGGACTGCATTAGTAAGTAAATTTAACATCACGTAAACCACTCCTCGCTCTCTCTCTCTCTCTCTCCCTCTCCCCACTGCAATTATCCGGACAATTAGTCTATAATGGCATTGCACAGGCAACACAAGATAAAAACAAAAGCATATGAAAAGCTCAAATGGTTCTGCAGCTTCTTGTACGTACTATGTAATATCTAAGTAAATTTAACATCAGGTAAACCACTCCTCTCTCTCTCTCTCTCTCAAATGGTTCTGCAGCTTCTTGTACGTACTATGTAATATCGATTTACATCAGATGAGGACTGCATTAGTAAGTAAATTTAACATCAGGTAAACCACTCCGCGCTCTCTCTCTCTCTCTCTCTCTCTCTCTCTCTCTATATATATAGATATCACGTTCGAGGTTAATCCAAGTTAAAGAAACATCCTCAGTTTTTTTAAAGAAATGCCATAGTTCATTGTTCTATGCAGTGGCACAGCGCCTAAATAGTAAAAGGGAGCAAAACAAACCCAGGCTACAAGCAAGCAGAATGCCACCGATGCTAATTGGTATAGTTCATTGGTCTGCACACATGAAAATAAATGTTATTTCTTACAATATATAAAAGAAAATAATTTGATTAAAGCACACTTAAGAATCTTGTACAACTGATTCTATCTCCGAATTTAAATACAGGAAGGCAAAAATTATACCTGAGATGATAAGCTAACCATCAATTTAAGTAACCAAGGAAGACCAGTACGAGATATTATGGACAAAACAGACAAAAACGTAATCAACACCACCAGCCTGGGTAAAATAAGATCGTTAATCATCAGATCAAATACCAAGGATAAAGGAATGACGCTAATATGACCAAAAACAGAGGTTTCCATTTTTTTATACATTGTGGGGCCTACGGCTTTCACTTTACTTACAAGAAATGAAACCATTCAGATTCAAACCATCATGGACGCACACCCATGTTCATGCACCCAACCACTTGAGCTAGTCTCAAGTGGCTACAAGAGTAGCCACATCTCAAATCATTTCCAATAGCACCTAACCCTTGGAACATAAATTTCAAATGCATCTAAAACACATGGAAAATTTATTTGTGTTCATAAAAACTTACAATTTGGTCATGGATACCAATCCTTGAAGAACACCAGAAGTACCGCCAAGGACTGGAAGCAAAGCGAAAAGCAAACCCACAGCACAGTCCTGGAAGACGGAGACTTCTCAAGACATCCCAAACAGAATAATTGTAAAAAATATTTATTTGTCCAAAGAAAGCTCTCAAACCTACAAACCTGCAGAATAAGGGTGCCTATAGTGACTTGGCCATGAAGGGCATTCGTTGAGTTCTTATCCATCAAAAACTTCAATACCTTATGACACAAGAATTCAACTTTTCAGCAACAAAATTATACCCCCAAAGTAGACATACGAAAAGAAAATTTATTGTGGATGCACACATGCATGCATGAAACAAGTTTAGGTTACCACTGCCGTTGAAGACATTGAAAGAAATGTGCCAACAAACACCCCTTCTGAAGCTTTACCACCGCATAACTGCAATTTGCAAACATCATCAAAATCACTACTGCAGCATCGAGAATGATAAACAATGTGCAACAGAGTTTTACTTCAACAAGGAATCAACGTTGGAAGAAAAGCCTACAAAATTAGAAAGTAACTACATCGACCTCTCAAGCAACAGATTAAATAGTTAGAGTGTCAGGTGTGATAGGTCCTAGGTTCCAATTTTAAGATGCACCCTATAAGTTACACCCAACACCTACGTGCTAGATATAATCCTAGCCTGCATTCCTCATCAAAATCATAGCTACATATGTCATAGTACTTGTTCCCCAGCATTAAAATGGACTTTCAGAGGGATCACTTTGTGTGAAGGATCTTTTCTTTTTAATTTTGGAAAAAAAAATGTGGAATGCTTTAAGTGGAGGTCTGATGAGGAACAAGAGACATAAGTAATTAGGAATTTATGGTTACAATTATCTACTAAGATCATATATGATGTATTTAAGCTTATTTGATAATTATGTTTATGTTTCTCTTATAACTACGATTATTAAGCTATAAAAAGACCTTGATTAGATTTTCACTTTGGACTTTGATGATCCCTCTTTTATTATTCTCTCTTCTTCCTAAATCCATCTTCTATTTCTCTTCCCTTTCTCTCTGATTGTCTCTTCCTTTCTTTTCTCTCTCTTTCTTGAATCTATCTTGGTCCTACATCAGGCTCCTCTCAGAAAAAGAAAAATAAAATGAAATTAAACTTAAACTTAAATAGAGGTTTTGAAAAGAGCACGAAACACATACCGATGCTATAAAACCACAAAGGCACATGAAAAGGAAAATCTGAAGCAGACCTCCTAGAACAGCAACTGCTCGAACAACTCTAAGCTGGAACACAAAATGATGATATTTCACGATGAAAGTGTAATTACAGTTATAACCATTTAAAAAATACACAGAAAAAGGGGGAAGAAATGAAGTAGGAACAAGAACATAGAAACCTTCGTTGTGGAGAACTCCAAGCCCAGTGCAAAAAGAAGAAAAATTACACCAAACTGAGCCACTGTTTCAACCTACAAATAAACAATCTTAGTAATGGGAGTGGTCTATGAGGTTATTTGGAATAAGAAGAAGAAGAATGTATTACAATAATTAAAGCAAGACTTTGGGCAAAAGCGTCAAACTTAGTGTAAATAACATAATAATTGCAAGAGTTATCAATGAATTTATAAGAGAATCCTAGAGAGAAACTATGCGGGGAGACACATACTTGCACCATTTCACTAACAAAGCTGAAGCCTCCAGGACCAATCACAGAACCCGCTAGCAAATATCCAGTAATAACCTTTAGCATGCAATCACAATAATGAAAATAATCAGAAAGAATAAACACCAGATTAACTTGCATTTCATTAACGAAATCCACATGGAAGAAATTGACCAGACCGGTTGTCCTGCACAAGCAAAGGCAATGCCACCACAGGTTGCAGATACGATAACAACTACCAAATCTGATATCAATCTGCGAAGCAACAAATAGGATAGCTCAGATTACCATATTGTAAAGTATTAAGAGACATATGTCATAAAACAAGAAATAGTAAGTTTACCTTAAGTCTAGCTGCAGCATTGGATATTTGGATTTAAAGTTCGATATAATGAAGACATTGTCCTGGAAGAGCCAAAAAGATCAGAGAGCAAACGACAACAACATTTTATATATGGCCATGAGAAGAACAAACTCCCACCAAATTTTTTCGCAAAGATGCAAGCTTACCTTTCGATCTATCAAGGTTGGGGTATCTTCAGCTCTATTGTCATTATCCAGATTGAAAACATCATGAAATTGAAACGACCTAATCAAAAGACAAGGGACGTTATATAAATGACAAAAGCAAAGTCCATCAATAAAGCTAATGTCCATTCAGCAATGGTAAAATTTGAAAATCAACAACTACATAAAGAATATATGTGTAAAGATAGAAGTGTATACTTTTCCTCTTTTGTGTCATTTTTCTTTGGCTTAACTCTGGCAACAGTTTCCAGAACTGCCTGGTCAGTACAAAAAGGGATGAAAAAAGACACTTTAGCGTATGCTTCAAGCTAAATACAGGTGCTCGATTAATTAAAATTGGAAGGAAAAACCAAGTAAAATAGTTTTATAAAACTGGACGCAAGTACATCAAAGTGGAAATGAAGAAAGCTCGCACACAATAATGAAAAATAGAACATAGTTCCTCACATCATGACACGCATTGAAATCAGAAATTCCAGTGAGCAGACAGGTTGTTCACTTCTGATATACTTATGACGAGTTACTTATGGGATGTTTGTTTCAAGAGTTCGTCCCTAGTTCTGAATCATAGTTCTTGATTCTCTACCGTGTTTTTCTCTCACAAAAAATTTGAATTTCAAAAATCAAAATCATGAATTTCTGAACCCATGAACAAAACGTCCCATTAGTATTTAACAATTGCATCTTTCGCTATTCTCTTTTAGCTAACCACTTTATTATGAAAAATTATTAGGCACTAGAATCAGAAACTTTTAAATTTAAAAAAACTTGTACCATTTGATAAAAGATACATGAACAGTAACACCAACCTGCTGTCCGGCAACGCTGTTGTTGAAACTCCCAGCATCATTAGCTGCAAGTATCACGAAACAAATAAAGATCAGTTATTTACAAGTGAGAAGGAAATTCGGATCGAGAATGTTTCACCCAAAAAAAAAAAAAAGTGATCTGCAGCTGAGAAAGAAAAAATAATAAAAAGATCTGAAAACGCAAAGTGAAATAAAATCGATGTAAATTAACTATAAACTTAACGGAATAATTCAAGTAACGAACGAGTGTTTCCTTACTAGTCACATCGAGAGAGATCAAACAAACAAAGAAATTAATCGACGCAACGTGAAGCGTTGACTAATAATGAAGAATTAAATAGCAGCAAAACATTCACATTGTAGTAACAACTCGCATGTTCTGTTTGGTTATTAAGAAAACCCAAAATCAATTATGAAATTGACTTTTTATTCCATTCAATAATTTATTTTAAAAAAATTTGGAATGAAATCTCGCACTGAGGAACATTAATGTCTACGTTCTCACAAAATCAAGCAAACAATTACTTGCCGACAAGCAGAATCCTTTAAGATTTTCTCTCAAAATCCGGTTAATTGACAAGCAAAGGGAAGAAAACAACATAAACCAACTCAATCAGGAATTACGCAGAACGAGGTAAGCGAGATAGGGAAAAGCTCGGATCTGACAAACCTTCGTTCTGATCATTTTCCTTGAACTCGTTCTCCAAAGCTTTATCAATCATGTCGGCGAAGCTGCCTTCCTTAGGTCTAGAGAGGGACACATTGGACTCGGTGGCGTTCGTCTGAACGAGCAGATCCGAATCGCCGAGCGGATGAGCGCGCGCAAGCGAAGAAGGAACCAAATCCCCGCAGAGAAGAAGCAGAGTAAGCGCCAATATCCAGACGAGCCTGCGAACGGAAGACGAAGATCCTCTCAACATTGCACTACGCGGCTCCGGCGCAAATCGAGAGAGCTTATCTGCGCCTTCCAAGAGGCAAACGACCGGAGCTCTGGTCCAACTTCCCAAAATGGTAGAGAGAGAAAGACGGAGAGAGAGAGAGAGTGGAGTGAGACTGAGAAAGACAGACAGACACGCAGTGGACAGAGAGAAGGGGGAAAGGAAACAAACCAGTCAAGTTGTGGTCATCATCCTCGAATTAACTATTAATTAACAAAAATATAAATATATTTATATATATATGTGTGTGTGTATAAATTGGACCATCGCGTTGTAAACCAACCGACGGCGAGTGGCCTTTTGTCGAAGAGAGAAGTTTTACAATTTGTACAAGTGAACCTGTACCAGACTCATGATCAATTATAATACAAATAATACAAGTTTTTGACTTTTGGTTTTTTTTTTTTTTTTAAAAAATTTTGGTCGAAGGTCGGCGATTGGGGATTGGCGTAACTTTTTTTTTTTTTTTTTAATAATCTGGCTACCAGCGTTTTCTTTTCTTTTTTTTCACATTTATGGAAAAAAAAAAAAAAACATTTATTGCTAGTGGTAACGGTCCTAAAGGAACCTACAAAAACCATTTATTGCTATATGGTTCTCTTTTTTTTTTTTTTCTTTTTTTGTTTGTTTCTGAATTTTATTAGTAAATGGGAATAGGAAATTTGTTAAGGGAGAAAGAGGGAAATATATCAAGATTTAAGATGAATTAAAATTAATAGGTTAATAGTTTATATAAGTTAATAAATAAGTTAAATTATTATTTTTATTCATAATTTGTCTGGTTATGAATCATAACTTGATAAGTTATTGTCCATAATTCACAATTTTTATCCATAACTTGTCTGGTTATGAACTATAACTTGACAAGTTTATTCATAACTTATATGATTATGAACCATAACTTGACAAGTTATGGCCTATTAATTTTTATAACTAAAAATTGGTCTATATATTTTCTTAAGCTTTTCATATTGGCCTATTTTTTACAATTTCTGATTTGTTAATACGAGAATAACTTGGAAAAATTACATAAAACCCAATGGATTATATGAGATCGGATCAATTAAGGCATCTTTTATTTCATCAATTTGAGTTTTCAATTTTAAGTTTTGACAGTTAAAAGTGTTCATAAAATGTCACATTTAACTTTTTCTGTTACAGTTAAAAGCTCTTAAAAAATGTCATATCTCAGCTCGAAATAAAAACTTAAATCCGCAAAGCGAACGAGGCCTAAATATTGGGTTTCCCTAGAAAAAATTACCGCCTTGTTTAGTTCTTATACTTAAACTTATGATTTTAATTTTATTATAGTGTTTTTCATCTCATAAAAATTTAAATTTAAAAATTTCTTCTCTCATAATTTTTCTGCTAATAAATTATAATCACTTAAACACGTGAATTAAGGGTCCGTTTAGTTCGCTGATTTAAAATTTTAATTTAAGATGAGATGTGACTTCATGCGAAAGCTTTTTTAATAACAAAAAAGTTAAATATAACTGTTTCTGAGAGTTTTTTACTATAATAAAATTTAAATTTTAAATCGATAAAATAAACCTGACTTAAATACAATGGGTTCTCATTAGTGTATACCGTTGGGAAAGCATGAGGTAAAGAACAATTTACGTGTAAAAAAGAAGGTCAAAATATCGGCAAACTTTCCTTATATACCCGCTAAGATGAGTGCTAAATATATATCTTATTTCAGACTCTCTCTTTCACGCTATCTTATCCTCTGATAAGTGTTAATTCAATTTTCTCAATCAACTTCAGATAATAACAACCCACTTTTTTCTTGTTTATTTACAAAAGTGTCATCATCAGATGCAATCCTCCATTACCCCACGTGTGTGACTTTGTATATACACCATTTATTCACAAAAATGCCATCACATCCTTTGGAGCAAATGAACGACTTTGCACGTTCCAGCGGAAGAAGACAAAAAAAGGAGAAAACGACTGAAAGCAAAGCATTGCATATAGAAAAAAATAAAAATAAAAATAAAAAAGCAAGAAATTCTTTACTCCATGAGTTACTAGAAAATTTTGACTTGCATTTCTGTTAACGAGGTATAAAAAGATCAATATATCACTCTAGTTTTTTTTTTTTTTTTTTTGTCAATGATTGTCTTTTACATGTTTGTTTTCTTCTTCTTTTTTTTTTTAATTAACGACTTTTGTTATATAAATATAGTAGTGTTTCCATTTCATAATTTTCTATTTTACTTATCATTTTACAAATTTGCTATGCGTTTTGAGTACTCTTTTTTTTTTTTGCAGTTTTTTCTTTTTTTTTCTATCCCCTTTTTATTGGTCGTTGCCTATGAAGTTGATACATTTTGTTATGTTTTACTTGATTTCACTATTGACAGTAATCGTGTGTGGTTTTTATTTGGATATTATATTTTTGTCTTCTATCATTTTTGTATTTAAATCATATTTTCTATCTTTTAATATGAAATAGAGTTTTCTTTTCTTATTTTCGTACCAATACTTAGCATATAACAAACTATCATACGAAAGGCCGCGAGGGAGTTGAAAAAAAACAAAACAAAACAAAAGAAAAACCGAAGAAAGAGGTTAGACTTTAGAGTTGAAAAAATAAATAAAGAAAACAAAAGAAAAAACATGAGACAGTGCTAAAGTGCGTGTACAAAGTAACACACGTGGTGTAATGGGGTTAAATCTAAAAATGACACTTTTATAAATAAACAGGAAAAAAATGAATTGTTATTATCTAAAAAGTTAGTTGAAAAAATTGAGTTCACACTTCTTAAAAAGATAAAATAACATTTGAAAGAGAATTTGAAATAAGATATACATTTAACACTCCTCCTGTCAATACAGACTATATTACAGATTTTAATTTAATCTTTTGACACGTAACATTTCTATTTTTTAAAATAAATTAATTTAATAATAAGTCATTTTTTTTACACTTATTTTAAAGAGTGCTATTACTCACATTAAATAGAGAAGAATTTTTTTTTTTTTTAGAAAAAAAAGAGACTTGCAGATTTGACGTTGCACATTCATTTGTTTTGACAGAGAGAGCCTTGCATGGGGGATAAATCTTGACAAGAAGGAAAAAAAAAGTAAAAGAAAAAACTCTGCATTTGTTTTGATCGACGACTATGCATTGTTGCGATACCAAATCCATTACGTTTAGCATATTGCAAATAAAATGAATATGCATCTCGTTGGGAATCAATTTCCATACTATTAATTTACCGATCCATCCCAAAAGCTTTTGGGATGGATTGATAAACTAACATAGTATCAGAGCAGGAGGTCCTAAATTCAAACTCTCGTAATTGCACTCTTTATCTCCATTTAACATTATCATCATATGTTAGGTCTTTAATATATCTCGGACTTAAATATTCACGTGTTGAGCTTTCCAATTAATTTATTCACACGATTGCCCATTGTCCAACCCACGCGTGAGGAGGAGTGTTAAAATATAAAATTATTATTGACCCACCTCCTAACAACTTAAGCTTTTGGGATGGATTGATAAACTAACACATACCAAACAATCTCCTTCATCTTCATGAATGGTATTCTCATCAAGCACGCCATCAGTAGTTTCTTGGAGGCACCCATTCGAATTCATAATTACCTATAATAGGAGAAAACAAAGGTTCAATACATAATCGGGTACTAATAATAATTCAATAAAAAATAATATATACATGTGGAGCATAAGAAAGACCAATCTTCCAGCAAACAAGAATAGAACCTAATTATCACAAAAACAAAAATGGAGCTTAACATATGTAACATGACTTTTCATTGGGAAAACGAAAAAAGAAACGAAAACCTTCAAAACAAAAATATATAAAAAAAAAAAACCATAAACAACAAAAAATAATAAAAAAAAATTTGGATCAAATTATTTGCATCATGAATAAAGTATAACATACATACATTAGGGAAAAAGGAAAGAAAAATGAAAAGAAAATTGATGGCTTCAAAACGAGAAAAAAAAAACAGAAAAGAAAAAATCATAGACAAAGAATTAAAAAAAAAAGCTGGAGAAAAATGAAAAATAATAGACACCATCCACAACCAAGAATGAGGAAAATGTTTACTTTTGGAATTGTTTTTGTCTTCTTCTTAAGAGAATTGCACAACAAATCTTCTAATGGCCTACTGAGAAAAAAATGTCTCTCTTATTAGGCAAGCCTCTTCATGCTTTCATTCTCTTTTATTTTCTTTTTGCTTCTACGGAATTTGTAAAGTCATTGATTTAGGAGTGAACAAAGAATGACAAACTTGTTATATTTGAGAGACAAAAGAGAGTAATGGCACTCTTGTAAATAAGTGTAAAGAGAGTAACTTATTATTAAGTTAGTTTGTTTTAAAAAAATAAATATGTCACGTGTCAAAAGATTAAATTAGAATCTGTAACAGAGTTTGTATTTAGTATTCTTCTTGTCCAGATAAGTAGCTATTAGTTCCAAAGTTTGAGAAAAGAAAAGGGGTTGGACTTGCAATGGAGTAGGTGGTGGATTTCATCATAGATTATGACCTTGGTTGGGGAAATTAATTAGGGAATTTATGTTTTTTTTTTTAATAAAATTCGGAATTGAATTCGGTCAATTTAGGCGCTTGGTGTTGTGGGTAGAATATGAGATGGATGGAATGGTGGGAGATGGGCTGAAACTGAATTGGGTTAGTCTTTTTTTTAATTATTTTTTAATTATTTTTCTTTTTGACCAAATTTTTGAGTGGGGAGCTTGGTGGAGGATAGGCTTTTGAAAATGTGCCAATCTAATTGGGACGTTGTTTAAAGTTTTGATATTAGTTGTTTCCTCTATCGGTTTATTAAAAATAAATGGAGGGAGAAATTGTAGTTTTTTTAAATGTTATGATATTAAAAGCAATACAACCATCACACTTTTTTATATGATACTATAGGACAGACGTGGACATTAAAATGAATCCAAAATCTGCTAAACAATTTGTAATTGTCTCTTTTATCTTAAAAAAACCATGTGTTATAACATGTGTCATCTTGTAAATAATAAATAAGAATTACAGGCTATGTGGGATCGAACCCAACGTTACCAGAGGGTTTTAGAAGTTATTTGCAAGGCCACGGATTTGATCCCATTGCATTTTATTATTTTACAATTGGTCACTCCTTTTTATTTTCCTTCCTCATTTTCTCTTTAATCTTAAATTCCAACATTATATCCACATTGAGTTATCCTAAAATTCTCCTACTCCATAGTTTTTTTTTTTTTTTTCCTTCTCTTTATCTGTTTGAGTTTAAATTTATACATCTAAAAAAAGTCACATTTCCACTTAAATCTCGATTTATAGTGGTAACGAGTTTTGTCCATTTAAATATAGTCTAGTTGTGTGTTTTTTTTACTGTTGTTATTTGCTTTTATATGGGTTTTTTTTTTTTTTAAATTATTAGATTAGTTACCTCTACAAGCTAACTAGATCTTAGAAATTTTAAATGAACAAAGATTGGCAAATACAATAAATCCGTTATGGAGTTTTATTTTATCTTTTGTGGAGCTATTTGCACACCAATTAAAAAATAGAGAAAAGTATATAGTTTATTATGATTTTGTGTAAGTTTAATATTTATGTTATTCTAAAAAAATTAAGTGTCGTAGTGGTCTTTCGTTTTTTCTTTCTTTATTAATTTAACGGCACTTGTTTATTTTTTAATAGAGTGATATGAATAATATTTTTTTATCATTTTGAGTAGTATTTTTGGTTTTTTTTTCCTTGAAAAATATTCATTTTACGACGTTCCCTAATTTCTCCTTTATATTTTCTTCCTCATTTTTTCTTAAACTCAAAATTTGTTTCCAAATCAAAGGTTTTTAGTCTGAGCTTGGAGGTTTTGCTTCTCTAATGTTTATATTAAAAGCTACCCTGACCTTACCTTGCGTCTTCCTTTGTTGGCTAGATGCGTAGGTGAAGGTTTGCGCTTGGGTCCTTGACAAGTACTTTTCTTTTAGTTAGACCTAGGGCTAACCATAAATTCCAATGAAAAACCATGGTTTTGGCCCTAAGGCACCCCTCTCTTTCAAGAGGATTCGCACTTCTAAGTCCTCTTTGAATACCGGCTCATTCGCAAGCTATGTGTGAAAATTAAATTGGAAAGGTCTAACTTTGTTACCTTAGCCCGGAAAACACTTAGTTTCCTAGGCCTCCTTCTATCTTGATATTGAGCCATGCTCGTCACCCCTAATCGTGTTACGAATTCTGTTGCCACCATGTCAAGGCTGAAGCTATGAGTTCGAGCTTCATCAATCCTGACCAAGGATCTGATGAATTGGCAAAAAGAAAAAAAAAATTCTTATTAAGGTTCTTCCTCAGCTAATTATTTCCTCTTTTGGTGAAATGGTGGCGCTATAATAAATTCAGAGTACCTTAACTTGGGGTTGTCATACAAAGCTAGTCACCTTAACCAATCATACTCATTCCACTTAGCTAGTCACCTTAAATATTACCTTTAAAAATTTTAAAATTTTACATTTAAACTCTCACTGAAATAATATATGTCTTCACTAAAATAAATATATTTTCTTATATGCCACCATTAAGATAATTTGTTAAAAAAATTTAGTGTACACTCCCACTAAAGTAAAAAGCTGGCTCCGCCACTATATACAACCGTTAATATTTGTTTCAATTGAATAAAATTACCATTTCTAATCAGAATAAAACGCTCATTTTAATGTTGATATGTTTAGCATAACTCCAAAAAAAAAAAAAAAAAAAAAAAATCTCATCTGTGTTGATTGGCGGTTTTAACGAATTGGTAAGAAGCTTGTTTTTTTTACAGAAGATTGTTAAGAAGTTGTACTTCGAGAGAGGCAAAGAGCTCAGATCCCGTGTATGGTGCACTGGCATGCCATCACTATCTCTTTTAATGTCCCTATATTAAGCATTGTTGTTAAGAGACAAACACCATCTATAATTTTAATAAAAAAAAATTATAAAAGCCAATGTTTTTTTATATCGTTTTTTTTTTATTAAAGCTATGTCCTTGTTTTATTATAGCACTAATAAAAAAGGAAATATGTTATAAATAACACAAGATTTGTTATTTTTTTAATGTTGACTGTCATATCTAATTTGTGTAGTTTGAATGGTTACTCAAATATTTATATATTAATAGATATTATTATTTTAGTCACCAGATATTAATCCGATAGTCGTAATAAATTGAATAGTTTACTAAGAAAATTAACGACAATTAATAAAATTAAATTCTGATCACGACACGTCATCAAATTTATATATTTAAAGGTGACACTAAAAAAATGTAACCATGAAAAACTCGTCCCATAACTAATATCTATAACTATCACATATAACTATTATAATTACCCATATAAAACAAACTATCGTAGTTATTGCTAATTACTAGCAAAACTAGAGAGTGACACAAAAGAAACTGAACAGATCGAAACCAATCCCTAATGAAATATTAAGGATAATTTTCATATTTACCTCATGAACTATATATCATTTATGTCATTTTATCCCCTGAGTTTTAAAATGCACCAATCCATCCCCTCAAACTTTGCTATGTTAGCAAAAAAACCTCCTTCCATCCAACTTCTGTTAGTTTTAACTATTTTTTTATTGACTTGACCATAATATAATCAGCTAAAAGAGGGTAAAAGAGTCACTTTACATTGGTTGGTTATTAATTGTAGCGGGAAATGAAAAACCCCTAAAAAGATTCACTAAAAATTAAAGATCAAACAATAGTCTCTCTCAAGGACTAAAAATTACGATTTTATGGTAACAAACAGCTTTAATACTGCGTGGGACCAAATCAATACGGAACTGATGTAGGAATTTCTATCCTTTTAATGTCGTTTTCAGCTTAAGGGAATAATAATAATAATAATAATAATAATAATAATAATAATAATAATAATAATAACAATAATAATAATAATAATAAAAGAATTTTGGTACATGTCCCATAACTTTGTAATCCTTTGAGACGTCAATCAACTACCAATGTTCGATGAAATTTAACAAGACCAACACGAAATTTGACAGTTTTATGACATTCCAACTATAGCATTTACCTTTCAAAAAAAAAAAAAAAGTGTAGCACCTACCAATATACATCCCATTTAGAAAGAAACAGAAATATAACACGTGTCTTCTACCAAAAAAGAAAAAAAAACAAAGAAGAAGAAAAGAAAGAAAAGATTTTCTGCACATCTACAAAGAGTGACAACACTATGCAGCAGTTGGATTTTTACTTGTATCTATCAGACACTTTTTAGACAGATTGGTTATCGAATCTGCTATAACTCCGGCGCTGGACTTCATATACCCGCCTGAAAAGCCAAAAGTCATCGTATAAATTTCCAAAGTAGAGAGAGAGAGAGAGAGAGAGAGAGCACCTGATGTGAGCATGACAATAGGAATGTTCCTCACACGGGCAAACCTGAAAACTTTCTCATCTCTAGTGGTTATCCCATCAGGACTAATCTGCATAAGTAAGCCAAGTGTGGCCTAATTCTTATCTTTAACATAAAGAGAGAAATGAAAATAATGGAACAGATTGAAGGAGTCTTGTAGATTTACCCTCAACATTCCCAGTGGATCTCCATCTAGGATATCAGTTCCGGCATTATAGACTACCAACTCTGGATCAAACGTATCCGCCGCCACCTAATGAATGGAGGAGAAAAAAAAAATCTTAAAGTCTTAAAATAAGATTCCGTTCATTTATTTGAGTTTTATTACAGTAAAAAGCTCTTAGAAATATTCACACCTAACTTTTTTGCTACAGTAAAAAGTTCTCACATAAAATCACATCTCAACTCGAATTAAAACTCAAATCAGCAAACTAAATGAGCCTTAAATATATACAATTCCCTCAACCAACAAACCAACAAAAAAAATCCAATTTACAAAAAGTTTTGTAGCTATAACGAGCAAACGCCAAATGATAAACAGCATAGTTGTGTTCCGAGATAACTATTGGTGAAAATAGCAACAAAATGCAGTTGTATTATTAACCTAATTGTAAGAAGTACAAAAAACTGAAAAGTCAAATATTTTATAGAGATATAGTAAAAAGTATTAGAAAAGTTATTTTTCATTGAGAAACCTCCATACTATGTAGAAAAACGACAATTACATAAACGAAAACAATTTCAGAAACGACGATAAACGTCATCAATTAACATATAATGACACCTAGCTCAAACCACAATAACAAAAAAATAGACGACCGAGTTATCAAAAAGCGACCACAATTTAGAGAGCAGACATTGGATACATGGCATAGACTTTCAAACGAAAGTAACTGCAGATGACGAAAGTCACGAAAATGACCAAATTTCATAACATGACAAACAACTAATTAAACAAGAAATCCTTTGGTTTCATAAACCAATAACAATTTACAGAACGATAGATCTCATAAATAGGGACATTATTGACCAAAAACGACAATGAGTTTATTCATGACAATTCAATAAACGACAACAAGAAAACATAAAGAGAAAAACTACAAGAGTCGGAAAGAAAAGATAAGAACATTACAAACAATACAAATAACCCAAAAACATAAAAAATCCATTACGGTTTATTACACACCGCAAACTACTACATAATAAGAAAAAGTCTCTAGAAATGACGACTTTTACTTTCAAAAAAAGAAACGACAACTTTTTGAATGACAACGTTTTCGAAACAACATCGACTAACAAATGGCAAGAATTGAATAAACAATACGGCTACGGACCTAAAAGTGACAGCATATATATATATATCAAACGACATATCATTCACACGACACAAGTTTCAAAGAACAACAATATTTATAAACTTAACCAACAGATTTGGTATCCAAAAAGTTATAAAAAATAACTATTCTAACGCCAATATCATGCACACTACAAAATTTTCAAAAAATGACAATAATATTTATAAACAGCATTAACCAACAGATTAGGTATCCAAAAAGTTCTAGATTTACGAAAATAATTCTTCTATACTTTTACTAGTTTAAGCAACTTAATTAAGAAAATTTCTCCTAAACTGGTGAAAGTGTAGGAAAGAGAAAAGAAGGGGCACAAGGAAAGTGAGGCAGAAAATCAAACAAGAAGTTCATATTTAGAAGGGGAAGCAAATTCAATCCCAAAGGGCAAGTTGATAAATGGTAAGCATACACGGGAAATGGCAGCAAATGATATGCAAGAAATCAAGGAACAAAAGGTTAGGCATGTTGAATCCAAAATTAGGAATAATAGTATACCTCAAGTGCTTCATCTAACTTTTTTAAGTACTCATCTGTTGCAGTGCCACTCTGTTTCAGGAAAAGAGAAACTTTATTGCTTTGAAAGGAATATACAATTACGATCCACTTAAAGAATGAGATAATAACTCACTGGTACTTCAACCTTCTGATCTATATATCTCCTTGCCTCATAATCCTAAACAACACATTAGGAACGCAGAAAACAAGTTTTATCAGAAATGTTTAACTGCATATAAATCTTAAACAAGAGACTCATAAGAGATTAGTAATTAAAGCCGTATAAAAACCCGCATAGAGAAGCAAGGTGTTACGAGCATAAGTAATCATGAAGGGTTTCCAGAGAACCGGAATAGGGTTTTGAGGAAGAATATTATTCTTATTCTCATAAAAATCATACTATACAGCCAAATATTTATACACAGCCTAGGGGATAACCACAGCCGGTTGTATCCCTTGATTCTAGCAGCCTAGGTAACAAAATCAGGAAACTACATATCTAGTAAATCAGAAAAATCGGGAAACTAATCAAATCTCTTATAAATAAGGAAACTAACAGCTATACAATCTTTTTCCTATTTACACCAGATTTCCACACTCCCCCTCAAGCTGGAGAATGTATGTCAATCATTCCCAGCTTGGATAGAAGAATGTCAAATTGTGTTCTTGTAATGGCTTTGGTGAATATGTCTGCCGTCTGCTGTCGTGTGGGCGTGTAGACAACTTCAACAATTCCATCCTCTGTCTTTTCTTTGATAAAATGACGGTCTATTTCCACATGCTTGGTGCGATCATGAAGGACTGGATTTTTCGAAATGCTGATGGCTGCCTGATTGTCACACAATAGTTCCATAGGAGTCTTTATTGGAAGTTGTAGTTCCTCTAGGAGTCTTCTTAGCCACATTCCTCCACAAATTCCGTGAGCTAGGGCCCGGAACTCAGCTTCAGCACTACTCCGTGCAACTACTGATTGCTTTTTACTCCTCTAACTGGCCAAATTTCCCCACACCAAGGAACAATACCCAGATGTCGATCGTCTATCAGTCAAAGACCCTGCCCAATTTGCATCTAACAGAATCTCTATGCCCCTGTTGGTTCCTTTCTTGAAGGATAGACCTTTGCCGGGAGACATATTTAAGTACCTCAAAATCTTGTACACTGCTTCTTGATGTTCTTCGTTCAGACTATTCATGAACAGACTAACTGTGCTGACAACAAAGCTAATGTCTGGTCTTGTGTGAGACAAGTAGATCAATTTTTCCACTAATCTTTGATATATTCCTTTATCTACTGGACCTGAGTCTCTTTTAGTTCTAATTATGTTGAATGGATCCATGGGAGTTTCTGAAGGTTTGCAGCCAAGCATACCTGTTTCCTTTAGTAAGTCCAGTGTATATTTCCTCTGTGAGACTGAGATTCCTTTACTAGACCGTGCTACCTACATTCCAAGAAAGTACCTTAGGGCTCCAAGATCTTTAATTTCAAATTCTTGACTTAGAACCCCTTTTAGCCGAGTAATCTCTACTTCATTATCTCTTGTGACAATTATGTCATCAACATATACAATAAGGATTGTGATCTTACCATCTGGAGTTCTCTTGATGAACAAAGTGTGATCAGATTGTCCCTACAAATACCCCTGATTCTTAACTATCTTGGTGAACCTATCAAACTAAGCTCTTGGAGATTGCTTGAGACCATATAGTGACTTTCGAAGTCTGCAGACATGTTTACCACCACTTGGCTGCTTAAGATCTGGTGTGATCTCCATATATACTTCCTCTTCCAAATTACCATTGAGAAATGCATTTTTAACATCAAATTGATGCAACTCCTAGTCAAGGTTGACGGCTAAAGAAAGTAGAACTCGAATGGTATTCATCTTTGCAACTAGTGCGAAGGTTTCCTGATAGTCGATCCCATAGGTTTGTGTGAAACCCTCTGCCACAAGTCTTACCTTGTACCTGTCAATGCTTCCATATGCTTTGTATTTAACATTGAAAACCCACTTACATCCTACAGCATGTTTTCCCTGAGGGAGTTGAATGAGTTCCCACGTGCCATTCTTTTGCAAGGCTCTTAGCTCTTCGTTCATTGCTTTTCTCCATTCTAGATGTAGTAGTGTCTCTTGGATGTCTCTTAGCGTCTGGATGCTATCTAGATTGGGGGTAAAGGCCCTGTAACTCGGAGATAACTTCTCATATGACACAAAGTATGAGATAGGATGTTGAGTGGATGATCTAATCCCTTTCCTTTGAGCAATTGGCTTGTTAAGATCATCAGCCAAACATAAATCATTAGAAGAGGAACAGGGTTCAGTGTTACCTTGTATCACTTCGTTGGGAGTTGAACTCGGATTGTCTGCTTGGCAAAGCGTAGGAGTCTCAGGATGCTCTGCTAGTTTAGGGGTCTTCTTATGTCTGGTGTAGACTAGGAGTTCCTTGTCAGCTACGAGTTTAGGAGGAAGATCACTCACATGTTCTTTCTCAGGTTCTTCACACATCATACTATCCCAAAACTGATATTCTTCTTGTAACTTCTCCCCCTGAATAAAGGTTTTGGAATAGTATGGGACATTCTCCATGAAAGTCACATCCATAGTGTTATATGTTTTCCTAGTAGATGGGCAATATCACTTGTAACCTTTCTGATGAGGTGAGTACCCTAGGAACAAACACTTGACTGACTTGGGATCAAGTTTGCTTCTTTGATGAGACGGAATATGAATGTAGGCTGAACACCCAAACACTTTGAGAGGTATAGTATTCACTACCCTGCTTTGTGGGAAGAGTTTATGAAGAACTTGACATGGTGTATCAAATTTCAAGATTCGAGATGGCATCCTATTAATCAGATAAGTGGCAGTTAAAACCACTTCCCCCAAAAATGTTTTGGTACATTACTAGCAAACATGATGGATCGAGCTCCTCAAGAAGGTGTGTTCTTCCTTTCTGCTATTCTATTTTGTTGGGGTGTATCTGTACAAAAACTCTGATGGATAATACCGTTCTCGAGAAGATAGGGTCCTAGGATTAAATTGAAATATTCCCTATCATTGTTGGTTCTAAAAACTTGGACTATGGCTTGAAACTGGTTTTTAATCATAGAATGGAATGTTCTAAACAAAGGTCCCGCCTCTGATTTTTCTTTCATAAGGAACACCCAGGTGGCTCGAGTGTGATTATCGATAAAGGATACAAACCATCTTGCACCAGTTATATTTGGAATCCGAGATGGTCCCCAAATATCACTGTGTATGACTGAAAAAAAGATGAGAGGGTTTGTATCCCTGAAGAGGATAAGTACTACGACAATGTTTCAAAAATTGACGGACTTCACATTGGAAAAATCTTGGATTTTTATTGATAAACAATGAAGGAAACATTTTTTCTAAGTACAAGAAATTTGGATGTCCTAAACAAAAGTGCAAGTTAATTTTGGAACCAAAAGGACTGATTGAAGAGTTAACGTATCGGAGATGACCACTTTTCCAACTACGTTACTAAGAAAAGTGATCCATCAGCAGCCCGGACTTTATAATCTTTAAGACATGGGTAACATTCTTGAAATAATGATGCATCACTAGTCATGTGGTTTGAGGCTCCTGAATCAACAATCCAGCCTGTTGAATCCTCTGTTTTGACATGATGAGTGGCTGGAAAAATACCTTTATATGCAGTGGATCCCATGGAGACAGTTGGGGCAAGATTTGAACTTTGGTTGAACATTTTCTGTAGCCATTCAATTTGCTCCTTGCTGAAGAGACTAGGTTCTGAGCTTGATGGATTTTCTTTGTCTTTGGGGCAACAACAAAACTCCGAGCTTCTCTTTCTCGATTCGGCTTCCAATCAGCGAGTTTACCATGGATTTTCCAACAGGTTTCTCGCGTATGTCCTGTTTTCCGACAGTGATCACACCATGGCCAAGTCTTCTTCTGCTTTGTGTCATGAGCTATATGAGTTCCCCTTGCCGCAAGGGCTGAGCTTTTAGTTCCTGAGGGTAGTGGATTTCCTAGCATGAGTTTCTTCCTACTTTCCTCTCTCCTGACCTCCGAGAATGCCTCTCGAATGGATGGAAGTGGCTTGGTTCCAAGAATTATCCCCCTTACTTAGTCCAGGGATTTGTCTAGCCCTAGTAGAAACTTGAAAACTCCTTTTCTATAATTTTCTTATAGAGGTTTGCATCTCCAGGACATTCCCAAGCTGGACTATCAAACATATCCAATTGTCGCCAATAACATGTTAGACAATTATAGTATTGAGTCACAATTAACTCACCCTGCCTTTGGTCATGAAGTGCTCCCTTAATCTCAAATAATTCGGCAGTGTTCTTGTTGTCTGAGTAGGTCTCTTGAGCCGCCATCCATATTTCGTGAGCAGTGTCATAGAACAAAAAATTCTGTCCAATTTCTACATCTGTGGTATTGACTAACCAAGACATGACCATATTGTTTTCTACTTTCCAGATTTTATACTTAGGGTCATTCGGTTTTGGTGAAACAGCCACTCCCGTGAGGTAATCATCTTTCCCTTTACCTGAGATGAACATCATTACAGACTTGGCCCATTGAAGATAATTCTGACCATTCAACTTGTGTTGAGTGATGAGAAGAATTTAGCCCTCTGATCTGCCAGCATTCAAGCAATCCTGACCAGCCGAGGTTCCTGGGGTACTGTTTGTTTATGATGCCATGAGGTGGATTTAGGGTATTGCGGTGATGACTATAACAGAGATAGGGCTGTGGCTTGAACAAAAAAAGAGAAAGAAATCTCCTAAAAACCGGATCAACAACCACGCTCTGATACCATGAAGGGTTTTCAGAGAACCAGAATAGAATTTTGAGGAAGAATATTATTCTTATTCTCATAAAAATCATACAATATAGCCAAATATTTATACACAGCCTAGGGGATAACCACAGCCAGTTGTATCCCTTGATTCTAGCAGCCTAGGTAACAAAATCAGGAAACTACTTATCTAGTAAATCAGAAAAATCGGGAAACTAATCAAATCTCCTATAAATAAGGAAACTAACAGATGTGCAGTCTTTCCTATTTACACCGAATTTCCACAAATCAAAATAAAAGGGTAGATGTAGGGTCATTCAAGGGAGCCTTGACCTCGGTTTTTGAGGATCTAAACCTCCCAAAGACACCAAAATATCAAATAATTCATGCATAACTTCTACAATTAACTATGGACTATTTTCAAATAAATCAAATCTAAAAAATTCAAATGCATAATTTATTGAAATAAAAATTTCAAAATTGTAAGAGGCAATAATAGAATGGGAAAACAAAGCCGTAAAGAACTTGTGAACAAATTTTAGGGGGAAGGCAACTTACTAATGGATATATCCCAGGGTTGAACATGTCCAGAATATAGACTCGACCTGATAATACTAAAAGTTATTTTGGTTCCAAAAGAGAATCGATTGAAGCCACTACTTAAAATAACAGAAGTACACCTACTGTCATTGGCAAAATCTGTTTCATGGCCATTGCCTTGATGTGCATCAAGATCAATAATCATCACCCTGTGAGGTTTGCAAATGGTAAGGACCAAGTCCATGCTTGAAAGGATATCTTTCAATTGAGATTTAGAATCCTATTATAATAGTAAGGACTGCAAATATGACTTCTGTGGTGCAATTGTTACTACCTTGATATGTTTAATCGAACAAAGGCAAAGTGTATGCAAAGAGAAATGTCTGCATAAGTACAAAATCCACCTCCTTTATTCCCAGAACAATGATGAAACCCTCCTCCGACATTGATGGCCCACCCTCGCTCTTTCGCAAGCTTTGCAGCCAAAATAGTCCCCCCAACCTGCAGTAGAATATGACTAGAGTAGCTCCCCTTTTCTCTTTTTGGTAAAAGATAGCGTAAGAAAGAAAATTCAAACACTAAAACAGGTTTACATAAAACCAAGGATGGATGATATGATACTTGGTTGCGGAATGGGCGAAGAACTTTCTGCTGCACTAGGCAATTGGGAAATAGCGCTACAGGAGGTACCTACAGCACAGGACTTCAAAATGGTAAACAATGCTTGAGACATGACAACCAAATCTCAGCCCAATCCAATAAACGTGAACTAATAAACATCTGGGTGTAAATTATGTTGGATGCCATTATTAAAGTCTAGTTATTTACCTGTACCACTTTTATGTATAACTTTGGCCTAAATTTTTCCACCGCAAAGTGGCATATTTGAACACTAACTCTCTAAAAGTGGTGTCCTCTAACACTACAATCGAGAATATGTGGATGTCCCATAAAATCAAATTGATCACTCCCTACTGACAGAAATACCATTTTCTTTCCTCAGCCTCCAGTATAATAATTTTAGTTTTTGAGGCATAGGGACAACACCTCATTATGGAATCATGCCAAGTCAATAAGGCCACAAATAAAAGCAATATATAGTCTATGTATATAACTATTATGTCCAAAAAGAAGAACTATTAAACACAAGAATGAAGCAAGTGCATTGTTACCTCAATTATCATTGCAACATTTACACTGCTCTTCAAACTACTCAAGTACGTTTCTGAATGGACCTGTTTATAGGTCACAAATAAGTATACACAAATAATAGGACTCTCATTTCAAGAACTTGACACCACTTTGCTTATCTCGACCAGTTAAAATATAGGTCACAAATAAGTATACACAGATAATAGGAATCTCATTTCAAGAACTTGACACCACTTTGCTTATTTCTGTTAGTTTTTCAATCCATCCCAAAAGCTTAAGCTGTTAGAAGGTGGGCCAACAACAGTTTTATACTTTAACACTCCCTCTCACGTGTGGACAGGACAATGGGCAATCGTGTGGGTAAATTAATTGAAAAGCCCAACACGTGAATATTTAAGCCCGATATATATTAAAGACCCAACACATGATGACAATTTAAATGGGGATAAGGAGTGCAGTTATAGGAGTTTGAACTTAGGACCTCCCGTTCTGATACCATGTTAGTTTACCAATCCATCCCAAAAGCTTAAGCTGTTAGGAGGTGGGCCAACAATAGTTTTATACTTTAACAATCTCAACCAGTTAAAAAGATTCTCAAATAAGGGTTCGAATGATAGTAATTTGCAGACACAAAATCAGCTTAGGTCCAGGAAGATAGCTGTCCCCAGGCGTAAGACTCCTTATACTTTTACTCCCAACAAAATTGTTCTTCATAATTTTTCTTTTAGTTTGCCTCTCCCAAAGATTTTCAATTGCAATATGTACACAAACTTTTTAAAAAAAAAAAATTCAATTACAACCCAAGTTTTGACTTTAAGTATACTTAGGCCTCGTTCGTTTCGCTGATTCGAGTTGAGATGTGATTTTATGTGAGAGCTTTTTACTGTAGTAAAAAAGTTAGATGTGACTGTTTCTGAGAGCTTTTTACTGTAGTAAAACTCGAATTCTAAGCTCGAATCAGTGAAGTGAACGGGGCCTTATATTTTAAACTTATAGCCTCAGATAAATAAAAATCAACTATACTACTCCATAAACTCATAACCCTTTGACTGTCGACCTAAAAAGAAAAGAATTGAACTCTATTGCAAGCTTGAGGGTATGCTCATTTACAATTAAGTCATAAATTAAGTTGTGTACGTGAGATAAAAACACTGTAGTAAAAAAAATTGATTTTAACTTAGAGTTATAAAATGAATAAGGCCTAATTCATTTGCAAGAAAAGATGAAAGATACTAGTAACTAAATAAAGAAAAAAGATTGTTGCATTCTAATTTGAGTTCGAAACTTTGGTATAATAGATGTCAAATATGTGCATCCAAATAAGAAAATGCTGGGCATACCACAAGGAGATCATCCTTTGAAGCTTCCAAAGGCTCTACAATACAATTTTTGTCTAAAATGCCATCCTTGATTAGGAATCCACAAATACGTCCCCATTTAGCAGAATCAAATGGATGCCTAACATCAAATCACAAACGACACTAAAACTTCAGCTTGATAGAGAGCACAGCAACGGAACTACTAAAAGAAATATTACAAAACTATATATGTTTCAAAATTTGAAAAAGAAATCGTGATCTTACAGCTTCTCTACGCCGAGAAACGCAATGTCGTATGTCGACGAGTAAATCACCGGCACCTAAATTAGTGAAAAATATCAGCTTTACCCCAAAACAAAAAATTCAGGCAAGTGCATGCAATTTTTACACAGAGATTTATACCTTGGATGTGGGAACATCGAAGTAGAGCTTGGTAGAGAGAATACGGTCTCGGCGAAACGATTCGGCGTCGTTTTCGGACGGCGAAGAAGCGGAAGAGGAGGACATGGGTCCGGAGCCAAACCAGAGAGAGAATTTGGTGGTAATGAAGCTCAGAGCCAAGAGAACGGTCGAATCAATGGAGATTCTGAGTCGACTCGGTGGAATTAGTTCGTGTATGACTCGGTAGTAGTTCATCGAGAGGTGGTTGTGGTTGTAAAGTACTTTCAACTCGCGGTGAGTCGACACAGTAGGGAACGGACGAGTCAAAGAAACTGGAATATCCATTATTATTCTGTTAAGAACGAAAATAAAGGACAAGCGCCGAGAGCCTCGTCGTGTACGGACTGAGTGATTGGACGGATGTTATTTGCGACAAGGATTAATCGGACGGTTCGTACAAGCTGAAGGAGATATTAGTGGTCGTCTTTTCGCGGGAGAGTAATCAACGCGCCAAAGATAGCGTGATCTCAAACAGTGTTATATGTACGTGGGGTCGTCACATTAAAATGATAAGGTGTCAGATTAGCAAAAGAAAACTGATGAGGTGTCACGAACTTAAGCCAACACTGTGTCACTCAGAACTACAAAAGAATGAAGGATAAGTCATATGTCGAGGTTTTATTATTATTATTATTATTTTTCCTTTCTTTTTTGCTGCTAGGATATCCGAGTTGATGGTGGGTTGTTGCGTTTTATTTTGGAGTGTACGCTGAATCTGTCAATTTATTCGATCCATATAATTCAATTCATTTTGTCGAATTGAATTGGATTAAAAAAATTTTTAATTAATAATAGATTGAGATTTTTTTTCAATTTACATTAATAAATTAGATTATAAATTAAATATTTTTCTCGCTAGTACGTAATATATACTATATATGTATTTATTTTTTTATATATTTTTAATAATATATAAGAGATTTTTTAATTATATCCATATATATTAGGTAATATTGACAAATACTCTTTAAAAGTGCATGAGTCAGAATTTTTACTCTTTATTCTTGATTCATAATTTTTTTAGTCAAATAATTACACTAAAAAAAGAGTATTTATTAAAAATAAAAGGTAAAAATTCAGACTCATGTACTCTCAAAAATAAATTCTCTATTTTTTTCATACATATTTAATTATATATGTATTATGCATTAGAAAAGAGAAATACCGAATGTTAGGTCTACGACTGGATACTGCACTTTCCTATTTTTAGGTGGAAGTCACGTGGAAGAGTAAAAAGCAAACAGTTGTCGCACGGTCGAATGCAGAAGCAGAGTATAGAGCAATGGCTTGTGAGCTTATTTGTCTTCAAACCTTACTAAGTGAGCTTGGAGTTGAGGTCTCTCATCCTATGATAATATTCTTTTAAAATGAAGCAGCAACTCACATTGCCTCTAATCTGGTTTTCCATGAGCGAACCCTGAAAGTCGCCTTAGAGCATTTTTCCTTGTCTTGACGGATGAGGCAAATCGAAATATAAGGCCCAAGCCCAACCTATTTTTTTTGTAGAACAAACCCTAATAATCATGCCGCCTCACCCTCTCTTCATTCTCTCCTACACTTCCTCATAGCATTCAACTTCGACTTTGTCTTACAATTCAACATTGCCTCAAGTTTGTGTTTAATTTTGTATTTAATTTTATGAGAATATAAAAATATAAGTCAATCCGCCAATCTGCATAATTTAATCCACAAATTAGAATTAGATTGGATTAGATTGGGAGTCTAACAGATCGGTAGCGGATTAAGATTTTTCCAATCCGCATAAACTGATTGGATTGCGGATTGACTTCTAATCCGCGTAATCCGATCCGTATACACCCGTAATTTTATTAAAGACTTCAGCTCAATTTGATACTCTAAGGGACTGGTTGAGTCCGTGTTTCGTCTAAAATTAGACTTCAACTCAATTTGACAATAAAAATTAAACATGTGATTTAAATTAAAAAAATAAAATATACATTCACAAATGCTAAGTAAGGATTTTGCGACTTGCGACTCCAGAGTAAATTTTGGTCACTCTTAGGGACTAGTGAGTCCAATAAAATGTGTTTCGTTCAAAATTATTTGACTTACTTAATATTTTAATTATTATCGGTAATATACTCAATATTATCGAAGTATATAAAAACTAAATGTTGTCGTTGATCATCGGAGTAATTTAGGGTACGTTTAGTTCGCTAATTTAAATTTTTAATTTGAATTGAAATGTGACCATTGACGTAAAGAAGTACGGCATACCACATTGAATAATGAGGAAGAAAATTCAAAAAATTTAGAAGTTTTAGCGTTGATGGCTCAGAATCGGCCCAATAAAAAATGGTCTCCTCAAAATCAACAATCAACATATGACAAATCATATTCGGCTAAGTTTCCAAATGTCCTCCAATCACACCTAGTGTAATAATTCAAAAATGAGAAAGAATCGCAATTGCTATTTACTAAATCTTCAACAGTCTACTAGTAATAGGCTATTACAACAAGACTTTGATCAAAGGTTCAAGCGTTGAGTGGTTATGTTTAGAAGGTTTTCGTCTACCAGTTTAGTATTTAATTCAGAGTGTCTGACATTACGCTTTTTATATATCCTTATTTATAGCACATTTGATTCAATTGGGGTGATGATGCCTTTGAGGAACGTATTTACTGGACATTTAATTTATAAATTCAGAATCATTCTCGATTTAAGTGTATTTTTTATGAGAAAAAATACTGTAATGAGTCACGAATCATGATTCGAACTATGACATTAATCCACCAACTACACGCACAGACCTTAAGACATTCTTGTCACGGTGATTCCTAACTAAATTCGTCCTTGTCGTCCATGAGATGCCAACAAGTGTTATGCCCCGTGCATAAGTGGCAAGCTTCCCCAACTAAGGTTGGCAAAAGGAGAAAAAGGGAGAAGACGAGAGAAGAGATAGAAGAAGAATGATTTGAGGAGTATCATTGATATCTCTTAAAATTAAGGGTAATATAATTTACAAAACCCTTAAATAATTTAAAAGGGATTGGAGCTAAAATCTAAAGAGTAGTGTGGAAATTCATTTATCTAAATAGGATGGGCAAAGACGTTGATTGTCCAATTTTCTCTATATTTACCAATGCAATTAAACTCTAAATCTTTCCCAGACTCTTTCATTTTTTGGCTGAAGCTTCCTAGTCAACTTAATCCCAAATAATGCTAGGTTAGAATGAGCATTCGTCTCTATGATAAATCTATATTGTTAATTCATTACATCATAGAAAACGATAAATGATACGATTGCATTACATTATATATGTGGTCTACATATCAGTGGAATTTTTCTACTGAATTATTGTTTTGTTTTATGTCTATGAAAGCAGGGTTGTGGTTGATTGATCACACGGATAACAGAACAATAGAAAGTGATTCTAATCCTCTTAAATAATAAGTGGGGAGAAGATGTGTAGGCCATTTATTATAAAATCATATTGACTAATTTTTGGCTAATTCTAGATGGTCAATTGGGTCCCAACCCAGATGGCATCACATGTAATTCTCGTACTTATTTAATTATCATTCTCCACCAACGGCCCAGTCGGCTTTCACATGATGTCTCAATCACAATTAATAAGTATTTTGCAGAAAATTAATGATATGCTTTCAATATTGAAGGATAAAGGCAAGAACAGGAAACGAAATAATTTTGGAGAGGTATGGTGGCACGAAGATTCCTTGAATTTGATGTCACTGCGATTTAACGTTTAACGTTGCTTTCCGAAGAGCTGCCCAAAACATCACCGTACCAATCTAACAACATATGCATGTTCTTGTCGAGAAAAATACACTTCTACACGAATATAAAAATAAATTAAAATAAAATAACAAAAAAATAGAAAAAATTGGTTTGAAAAAATTTGATACGTTTACGGAAGAGAGAAAAATTCACTAACAATTTCAGAATTACACACTCAATAAATTTTCTCACTTTTTATCTCTACCAAAAACCCTTTACACCTTTTACCTATCTCTCTCCTTAATTTTCTCTCTTTTTCTCAAAAGAAAATACTCTTTCTCTGCACTTCTCTCTCGGAGTACACAAAATATTACACAAAACACTTATTTATAGATTCCTGATAAGCTTTGCCCAAAAACAGAAAAGAGTAACTTACCAAAAAACATGAAATAGTAACTTTTTCAAAATCAATTTGAAGCACTTACCTAACAATCTCTACTTTGACTCAAATTCTCTCAACTCAAACATATGGGCATCCAATCTCGAAACCCGTCATCACACCGACAATTTAAACTTTAACAAGAATAAACATATATCAAATTCAAACTCTCATCAAACTTGACACGAGAAATTATCTTCTTCTTCTTCAAAGTATCTTCACTGCTATAAGTCTTCACCATCTTGTCTTTATCATCTTCAAATGTTATCATCTTGTTGCACTCTTTTACTCCTGCAACTTCTATCACAACAGAAGAAGATTCTTTGTGGCTTGGCTCTATCGTCATAGCTCTACCTACAACTGTAGTCACAATCAGTTTATACAAGTTTTTCACCTTTTCACCCTTCATGACTACTAAATCACATCTCTTAACTTGCATAAAACTGCCCTTCATATAATACTCACAACCTAAAGTGTCTAAAGCCCCCAAGGAAATCAAAGTTCTCCATAGTTGAGGAGCATGCCTAACATTTGTCCTTGCAGCGTTTTCAGGAACATGCCTAACATTTCTCCTTATTCCCAAACTTCATCTTTCATATTTTCTTTCTTCTTTCCTTGCAGCGCTTTCAGTAATCTCTGCTGAATCAGAACATCTTTCACCGTACTCTGCCATATGCTGAAATTACTCTTCTCGTCATATCGCTAAATCTAGTAAAACTTTTTCCCGGATATCATCTTGATTTTTTTTTCTTTTAATCCTTACCACAGCTCTAATACCAGTTGTTGGGAAAAACACACGTCTACACTCACGTAGCAGAAAAATAAACTGAAACAAAATAACAGAAAAATAGAGAAGACAAATATTTATATGTGGTTTGGGAAAATTTTCTTATGTCCACGGAAGAGAGAAAAATTCACTAACAGTTTCAGAATTACACATTACACAAATTTTCTCACTTTCTCTCTACCTAAAACCCTTTATATCCTTTGTCTATCTCTCTCCTCACTTTTCTCGCTTTCTCTTAAAAGGATACACTATTTCTCTGCACTTCTCTCTCTGAACACACAAAGCCTTACACAAAGTACTTATTTATGGACTCCTAATAATCCTTTCACAAAAACAGAAAATAGTAACTTACTAAAAAAACACGAAATAGTAACTTTCCCAAAACCAATTTGAGGCAATTACCTAACAGTTCTATCTCTTGTTATTTTCATAATTTGATAAATTT